CCCTCAGCCCTCACCTGTGCCCTCGAGGAACTGTGTCAGGAAGGCGTCAAAGGAGCTGGGGTCGGGCAGGAACTTGGCCAGGCGGTGAAAGTGGTAGAAGGAGACAGCGACATCCTTGGGGTTCCTGGCCACGTAGATCACCTGGGGGAGGGAACACGGTGTCACCCCCTCAGTGTCACCCCCACAGCTTGGGGGGTTCCCCTGGCCCCGCTCAGACATCCCCCGGCCGCAGGGAAACCCAGGGGTGCGGGATATCCCTGCAGGGACCCCCAAACCATCGGGGACCCCTCACCCCGCTCCTCTCTCACCTTGGCCTTGCTGCGCTGCAGGGCGGGGGCCAGGACGGGGGCAGGCAGGTGGGTGGTGAGGAGCCGGCGGCTCTCGCTSTCCCGCAGAGCCCCCCGGCAGTAAATCTGCTCCAGCCACGGCGCCCGCTCCCAGTTGGGGATGGTCTTGGCCGGGCGGGCGTCGCCGAGGCTGAAGAGCAGCGTCAGGATCTCCTGCATCCAGGTGGTGCCTGCAGGGTGGGGGTCAGGGCAGGGCATGGCACGGGGCATGGCACGGGGCATGGCACCATGGCACCATGGCACGGCACGGCACGGAATGGCACTGCGCTGGCACTGCCATCGGGTAGCAGCGATTGGCACAGCAAGGCACGCCTGTCCCTCCCGTCTCGTCCCATGCTATGCCATCCCAGCATTAGGGCTGGCAGTGCCGTGTCCCCCCTCCCCGAGCCCCCGGGGACACCAGTCTCGGKCTGGGGACCGTGTGGCAGCCGCACAGAGGGTTCAGGGGGCAGGAGCCCCTGGCCAGGGGTCCCCGTGCTGTGCCAGAGGTGTCCCCAAGCCCGGCCACCTCCCAGCCCCGCCGGCAGCTCCGGAGGAGCCCCCCCGTACCCCCTCCAGCCCCGCGGTCCCAGCCCGGCGGTCCCAGCCCTGTCCCTTCGTTGTCCCCGTGTCCCCCAGGCGCTCACCCGATTTGGGGTAGGTGGCGATGAGCACATCGCTGGGGCGGAAGGTGAAGGCGGCGGCGAAGCCGAGGGACTCCTGGGTGTGGAGGTGGCCGGGCAGGGCGATGCCCGCGAAGGTCTCGGTCACCTCCATGCGCTCCATGGCCCGGCCGGGCGGGACGCGCCGGGAGCCGCTTAAATAGCGCTGAAAGAGGAAGCGGCCCCGGCGGGCGGGGGGCCGGAACCCCCCGGCACATTCCTGCCGGGGAGCCGGGAATTCGGCCGCGATGGGGCCAGCGCCGGGAGAGCGCTGCTGGCAGGGGCTGGAGCCACCCGGGATGGGGTGGAACGGGATGGGATGGGATGGGATGGGATGGGGTGGGGTGGGAGTTCTGCTTGCCCGGACCCGCTGCTGCAGCCGGCAGGAACACGGGGCTGCGTCACCTCGGAAAGGGGGCCAGGAAACTCGAGGGATGCCAGCCCCACACCGTCCGCACCCCGAGCTCCCCACGGCTGGCACCGGAGGAGGGGGTTCCCATCCCAGCACACCCCAGGATGAGGTGTCCAGCTGCTCCGGCCATCCCCACGTGGATCCCTGCCATTCCCAGAAGCCCCACCGAGGCCTCTTGCTGGGAAGGACACCACAGCTGGAGCCAGCCGGGATGCGCAGCATCCGCAGGATAACGGTGCCTCAGTTTCCCCTCGGAACGCTGCAGCGGGACCGGAGCGCGGGGGATCCGAGCACACACGGAGGACCAGCAGCAGCCCCACACCGCGGCCATGCCACCCCGGCTGCTTGCCCCGGGGCATGGGGCTGCTCCGGCGCCGTGCGGGGGGTGGCTCTGGGGTGGCTGGAGCCCATCCCAGCCCCGTCACCGCACGCAAGCCGGAACACTTAATTCACAGCCTT